ATGCATTATTGTGAAAATTTAAAGTTTAAGACTATAAAGTGCTGTAATTTGTGCAAATGTTTCTCTACACAACAATTAAAGTTTAGAAAACTTTGCTTTAAGAAAAATCCCATGGTTGTGTGACTTAGCKCTGTTTAAAATCTATTTAGTGCGTTGTGTAAAGAAATGTTTAGATTAATAGCATAAACACATTAGCACAGAACGTGTGGAGACAAGAGTCGAGTTAAGGCGATCAACAGAAGAAGTAGTCCCATTAGGGAAACCGGTCCTSCTACAGTCCTCAGTCCACACAGGAGGAGCATGGAGACCGTCAGAAGGCAGGCCTCATGTCAGGTGACGGCGTTCAGGTTCTGGCCCCCATCGCTCGGGGTGAAGAACTGGACTTTGGGTGAAACGACTCCAGAGTTGTTCCTGCGCAAGCTCGCGCTGCTGCCGGCGCTCTTCCTCATGGAGTTGTTGCGTCTCATGGAGTTGCGCTTCCTCAGCGAGTTCTGGTGCGACAGCTCGCTCTTCTGAAGCGTCTGGATCAAAATGAAGGGCTTCTCGTCCAGCTCTCTGGCGCTGCAGTCCGGCGTCGTCACCTGCAGCGACAGCGTGCGTTAATACATGTTCACTTTCACTCTTTTTTTTTTTTTAACCTGAGACAAAAACGCCCGATGATTATCTGTCGTAAACAAATAACGCTCACTCTAACTGTGTTGCCGAATTTGGAGTAGTCCACAGAGTACACGCCCTCTTCTTCTGTTACTATGGGAACAAATCGGTGACCCCACTGGATCTCATCAGAGACGTAGGAGGTCCGGGCCTGCGTGGTGATGCCCGTCGTCTCCACGACTCCCTCCAGAATGACGATTACCTCCAGGTCGCTGCACTGCAGCTCCATGGCTGACAGGTCGTACAGCGGGCTGTCGGGACAAAAACAAAGTGAAATTCAAGATCTTCTACAAAGTGACTTTTTAGATATTTTGCTAACAGATGGACAGAATTTCTTGGAGTATAATGGATAATCCTCAGCTACTACTGCACCAAACTTTAGGTCAGTATCTGTAAAGGTGGCTGAGTTTGAACCATTTTTGTGTTTCCAGTAGGGCTGCAACCAACGATTAATCGATTCTTAAAATAATCTATGACTAATTTAATAATCGATTAATCGTTG